CCAGATGTTTTCACCAACACAGCCTGGCCGCCCTGCTCCACCACCTCACAAGGGCAGGAAAGGGCGAGCCTCCATTCTAGCAGCCTTGTTGAGTTCCAGAAAGCCATAGGTCGCTGCTCCTCCTATTAGTGCCAGTTCAGAAAGAGGGCAACTGCCCCCAAATGTTCTTTTGATCACTTGGCAAAGGTTTTTTTTTTTGTGGGGGGAGGGAAATAAGGCTTCTGTGGAAGCCAGGTTCTAGAAACAGGATATGGTCTACTTTCTGTCAACTCAAATCCCCAGCAAAATCCAATAGTTGTTTTTTTAAAGAAGGATGAACCCAACACACCAACACCACACCCGTAATTAATGTGTAAATCAGAGATTACTCAGCAAATCTTCTTTTCTCTCTTACCCAAATCCCACCAAGACAGGACTACAAAGCCCCTTTTCCGAAGAAGGACGTGTATGTTATTATATTTATAATATAACGGAGGAATGGGGGATTTTAAAGAACTGGTCAGAGTCCAGAATTTCCCCTACCACACCAAAAGGTCACACAGAGGGATCATCCATGACAGGCAGTCACACCTGCAGGAGGACCCAAGGATGGAGGGAGAGGTGAAATTGTCTGAGTAATTGTTACAATCGCTTCTGTGTCTCTCCCAAAGTTCGTGTCCCGCTGGTGGAGAACCGCTCCTCTAGGAGATGCACCTAGACTCTGAGGTGTGCACACACACAAATTTCAGCACATAGAACACACACAGCATGGTGTTAGATGACTTTTGCTTTCTATCCCTCTGCAACCGCCTGTCTAGCTATGCAGATTCCTTGATCCAGAAGCTACTGGTGGGCTCTGCTACTGCAGAGAAAACAGTAAGCTGGCACCGACGGCAGACTTTCCACCAGACAAGGATAGCTTAATGACTCGCATCTCTCTGGCTGCGGAGTTCGAGGTTGGGCGTTCGATTCCCCACTGTGCTTCCCTAATAGGGGTTGAACTCAAATGATCCATAGGGTCCCTTCCAGCTCTGCAGTTCTAAGATATTTATGATCATGTAGGGGGAACATTTTCAGGCTGCAGCCGCTCATGCGTGAAAGAACACAAGACAATTCCTACTTTCCTCCAAGAAATTTTGGACATGGCAACAGTCCTAGCCCTCGTGGTTTGAAAACAGCACTCAGTCTTGTTCGCAATTCAAAACAAGGGACCCAACCAAAGGAATCCCCAATGCTTTTAATGTCTGATGACTTCCAAGTCTATAAGGCAAGACTAGCCTCTCGTAAGAAACTGCAGTTCTTGGAACACATCGTGACTGTTATTCCTATTGTATAAATAAAAAGTAATTTTCTCTTCTTTGCACTAAGTTGCTGTCTTAAATGTACATTAACCTGTTATTCTTTCTTGGTGCTTCTACCTCCTTATCTCTTATTTACATGCTATTTACTCTCTGTCCTATTCCAAAGGATCAAAACATTTAAGAAAAGGAAGTGTAATGATGACAACTCTTAAACCAACAACAGCAACAAAAACACAACAATTCAGTACCAAAAATAAACTAATAATTCATCACTGAAAACATAGAAATACATATTGTTTTGAAGCCAGACTTAAAAACAAGGTAATCTGTCTGTGTGTCCCTTTTGCTTCCTTCCAAATTCAGTTCTTGTTAAATCTCAAGCCTTTTTATTATTCTGATTATGAGAAATTTTACAGATTTTGATACTTCTTTCTTTTAAAATGAAGCAAATTAAATTCTTACCCATCCTTAACATCGCCTCTTGGCTTTTTGGATAAGATCAAATATAGAAGGAAAATATTATATAAGGGGCTTTTTAACTAAGTGGGGCCTTCCCCCCCCCTTTTATGTGTTTTAAACTGTGTTTTTAATCTGTTTTATGTTTTAATTGTAGTTGCTTTGTTTTTATCACTATCAGCCAACCTGAGGTCCAGCCATTCTTCCAGCAAATAAATCCAAGAAATTACTAAGTAAACAATAGGAAAACCAAAAGAATCACCATTCTATTGGTTTTGTAAATCAGTAGGGAATAGGCTATACGAACAGAGCAGAGAACCTAGAAATTAAAGCTTGTACACATTACTGTGTGAGAATTCTGATACTGGTAGGTGTAGCCTTTAAAAAGGAATTTTTCAGCAAAGTACAGTGGTGGCAGTGGTGCACCCCCAGCTACACAAGTTTGACCGGGGTGTTGCAAATGTGTTAATTGCTAGTTTTATTCGCATAATGTCGGAGGTTAGGGTGTAATTAATGCTGGACAAAGCTGCTCTGCACCGGGAACTAAAATCTCAGAGCTCTTAAAATTCCTGCTAAAATGTATTGCCTCTCCTTTGCACATAGTTTGGCAACGAATTCCTGAGTGAGTGGAAACCGCTTACTTTCCCTTCCAAAGAGGCCGGGCGATCAAGGAGGGCGACTTAGGAAAGAGGAAGGGAGGGTGTAGATGTGCAGGAGTGGTGGTGCTGAAGTGAAGAAGGAGGGGGAGGAAATAAAAACAAGTTCCCCCTTCCCCCTCCACCATGGTTAAAACAAAGGTCTCTTTCTTCTCCCCACCTCCTGCTCCATCAGCACTTGGGTCTCCCTGAATTTATTTAAGTGATGGTGGCTGGCAGGTAGCTGTTTTAATTAGGCAGCTATGCCTCTCCCTCTCCACCCAGAAGGGAACAAGAACAAAATCTCTCCAGCTGGTATTTACCCCAAGGGGTAAAAGGATTAAAAGAGAACTGCTATTCCCCCCTCCCCACATGTTAACCACCACCCCCAATCCCTGCATCTGCGTCTGGTTAAAACGGCTTATGCTCCTCAACCGCAGTCATTCCCTTCACCTCTGAGCAACTGCAGTGAAAAAAGGGAGGGGGAATTTCTGGCCACCTCTGGAATCCAGATGCTGAAGCCAACTTGAACTCTAAAGTGAATGTTTGGTCTCTCAGACTCTTTCCTGCCTATATGCACTTAATGTTCACAGTGGATTGTAATTCCTCATGCAGTGTTTGGGGTTTTTTAAAAGCTACACACTGCCTACTGAGCTTTGTGATGACAACAATGGGGCAGCAGACAAGGGACAGTCTTTAAAATGAGAGTGTGATCCATTTTATCAGATACATTCTTCACTGCTGCCACCCTTTTGCACACTTAATGTGCAAAACCAAGCTCAGCATTTAACTCCCAATAATCAGTCACCTACCAAATACAAGATAACTTGTAACTGGTGGTGGCATAAAACGACACTGGAGGCTAATATGAGGTCCTTTATTTCTAAAACAGCTCTACGTTTGCTGGAAAGTTGCCCTCCAGTCTGTTTCACAGACGAGGGATGTGAAAATCTCTCTCTGTCTCAATTTTGTTGTGTTTCTGTGAATGCCTCCCACATTTTCTTTCTGACCATGATCTGTATTGCAAGCCTTTATTCTTTATGCCAATATTTAAATTCATACTCAATTTTTCCTGCATCTTGCTTAATATGCACATTTATTTACAATTTACATGTAATGTACTCATTTCACTCCATTGACTAAAGCATTTCCCCACCAAATGTATGTTGCTTTTCATGCACTTCATCTCTCTGAAACACCCACAGATAGCCAAACTTCTTCAGCAGAGCGACGTGTCTTCAGAGGCACAAAAAAGCCACTTCCTTCTGAGACTGTCAAATTCAGCAAAATTCTTTCCCTTCCCACTTGGAGGAAGGGATGCTTCAGAAAGAAGGGAGTGCCCTTTTTCTGAGCGGTTCCTCCTGAGATAAAGAGTGTTCGTTGTTTTACAGGGAACTCTTGGTTTTTCTGAAACAGGATGATCCTTTATGACAAACCATGTGGTTTGCAATAAGGAACATCTGGGAAAGTAGTGCTCAGATTACAAGAGGAACTGCACTCCGTTATAATCTTTTAATCAAGTAGGACTGGAGAATTATCTAGGGGCCATTTCACACATGAAATTTTATCCAAATGGATGCTTGCGGTGTGAGGCTAGAAATACCTTCAACGTCATGTACACTTGTCCATTTTAATTCTTTCATGTATAGGTATGGTTCCTCTTTAAGTCTGAGATGATACACACTGTTATTCAGCAAAAGCCATGAAACTTTATTGACTGATTAACTGACTGACTGACTGACTGACTGACTGATTGATTGATTGATTGATTGATTCATTCATTCATTCATTCATTCATTCATTCATTCATTCTTCTATTACACAGCCCCACATGATTGATTGATTGATTGATTGATTCATTCATTCATTCTTCTATTATACAGCCCCACAGTACAAGCATTCTCTATGCAGTACATTAGAGACTGGATGTTTCCAGACAAGTCTCTCAATGTGCAAATGCTGTGATTCAAATCCTAGTTTGGGAATGAGATGATGATGATTGGAATGTAGCTCCCAACACCCCCTGAACACTAACTACAATTCAAATCCTTCCTGTGTTTTCCTTTCTCTTCTTTCTATTCATCAGAGTAGAAAAGCTGCACAACAGTTCTCTATTGACTGGCATCACTAGGAGCTTTCTATGTTGAAATACTCAGACTTATTTTTAAAAGGTGGAAACATATACTGTGGCACAATTAATAAATAACCTTAACAATAAACAAACAAACAAATAAGTTTGCTTGTTGTAAGCCACTGTTTACCTTCCAGTGACCAAAATGTATACATGCCAAATGCAGAATATGTAGCTGAAGAACAGCAATTACTTTTTCATCATTTGGGAGAATCACCATCTAAAAAGGCAAAAAGCCTATTTGAATGTGACCCTGATGTGTGTAGTGGCTTGATGCTATATGGTGGAGAAGGAAAAAAGAGGGACGGAGCTTAGTCAGGATAAGTTCATACATCCTGAAGTTTAGGTGACTAATGCTAGAAGAAAGCATGGCACTACTGAATTCTATAAAGAACAACAGAATTGAAAAAGGGGTTATGCAAACTCTTAACATTTTTGCTCTCTTGGTGGCAGTTATTCAGCAACAACAGGGGAAAATAAGCTCTCCAGAGTTCTTACCTCATCATCTTTGTACCAGGAAAGATTCTCTGCTGTCAGAACAAACCAGTACTCTTTGGAGCCGCCTTTCATGATGCCAATATTGTTAATGGTGAGCCAGCCCTTACGGATTCATTCCATTGCAAAAAATAAAATAAATAAAAAATACACCACATTATCATAATTATATATGCTGACTCTTCACTCCACAGAGAAGTAAGGAATGGCACTGCACACAAAGAAAGATAACAGCACATCAAACAATAGGTTGGTCCCAACAGCTGCTCAGGTATCATCTGTGGAAGATGAACCTAAGCCAGTCTGTTGCATTGGCTTCTAAAATGGGAGGGAAACTAGACAAGAAACAGTAGGAAACAGGCAAAGATGGGAAATGTTTCTTTCTGTAGACTACAACTCCCATAATCCCACCACCTGCATGAGATCCTGTAAGTGGCAGGCCACACAAAGCAATGTTTTTTTCATCTTTGAGAGCAGGTGAGAACCTGTTTGTCTTGATTCATAAATCCTCTGCCAAGAAAAGATGGTAAAGGATCTTGGGAGAGATGTGCACAGAGCTCCCGTGAAGACCATTAAAACATTGGGTTTGCTTGCCCCCCCCCGTGAGAAATCAAGCCATGGTGGACAAGGGAAATCAGAAGGATGAAACTGGCAAATCATGTTGAATATGAAGGGGTACGTTTCCTGGGTTGTGAGATCCATATTAGAAAACTGTTAAGGAACACAGAACATTACTCCTTCTCGAACAAAGAACAAGTAAGCCTCTAAAACAAACAGATATCTGACAAGACCAGCCCTCCTCCCCACATGATGACAATACTTAGGGGTGGGACCAACAAGGCGGAGTGTATTCTGCAATCCAGCACAGAACAAGCACAGAATGCAGTGGCGGACATGAGTACCTGCTTATGTGCCTCAGCATTTATTCTCATAAAGCAAGCTTCTCATGACTATCAATCAAAATAGGGTTGACAGAAAGCATTGGCAACGCCCAGTGAAATCACAGGCATCAAGGAGTATCCCCTTCAGTTGAGTCAGCTCATATGGCTCAGCAAAGAAGCAGGACAGATTATGCAAAAAATATGCAGGCACTTAACACGGGCTGCAGGATCTTTTTCTTTGTTAAAAACACAGAGTACACCCAAGCCTTGTTCAGATACTATTGCCTAGTAAAGGCTGAGCCAATCAAACAGAAGAAAAGGAGGAAGGAGACAACAAAAGAGTTAATAGAATTGGGAAGGGGGAAATGGTGAGTATCTGGAAGCAAAGGTGCATCTGGAATTCACCCCCTACATTTATGTATGTGTGAGAAACAGAATCAGAAAACACCACGCTGGTGGTGTACAGTCAGCGGTTATCACAAGGAGAAACAATCAGCCTATGGTTAACTACATTTTGAGAATGTAGTTAGCCCAAGCCATCTTTGTCCCATGAAAAACATTGTGCAGGATATGAAAGATTACAAAACCACAGAATAAGGGACTGCTCCCCACTTATCTCTATCTCTCTCTTTTTTGGTAAGATCAACTTAATTTTGTCCTCAGTTTTATTTCCTTTTCATTCTTACCTATCCACACATTAATGTAGAGATATTTTAAGTCAGGGACCTCTGTTCTTGGGTATTGGGTCACATTAAGCTAACACTTTAATGAGTGATCAAATATTTTAACGAAGTTAACCTAGCAAGACTGATTTCCCAGCTACAATGTTTGCACTTTCCAGCATGCCCAAACCATCTCTTAGAATGCTGAAATTCTCCTTTACAGGTTTTTTTTTTCAAACTCATCTATTTTCATAAAAAACATCAGTGTTCCGACTGCACCTCAGTTCAAATTTGACAGAATTGCTTACTGATTGGTCAGACAGTGGGTTTGCTTGTTGTGGGTCTGTTCAGATCTATGAGCCGGCACAGGGTTTTAAGCAATAAGCGTTCTGCACATATATAGGGAGCTTCATCTAGAAATCAAGAAGTCTATGCCTTCATTTTAAAGTAAAGAAGACTCCTATTGTATTTGTACAAAGTTCTCTAGTTAGTAAAATTGAAGCAAATAAATGGCAAAAGATCCTGAACCTTGAGTAATTTGTAGCATATTGCTCTCATTTTCTTCCAAAGTATTAGTTAGTTAGTTGCTCCCTCCTTCATCTTTCCTTTCCTCCCATTCCATCCTTTCCAGAGCTTGTCACAGTAACTTTTTGGAATTACAACTCTCAGTCCGTATGGGTAGTGGCCATGTTGATTAGAGGATTGTGAATGGCATTGGCCCCCCAAAATTAACTTTTACAAGTGCTGCTTTTTGCCTTTCCTTTCTCGTTGCTTCAGGGATGCCTGCTGGCTCTCACCATTGCAGGCTTCTGTTTTTAATCTTTCTGCTAAGCATTACTACTAGTTCAAACACCACGATTTTTTAAATGTCAATATGTTCAAAAACATGCAAGTAATTAACAAATCAATGAAAAAAGTAATGTAACATAAAAGTAAACTTCACTGAAAAGAGGGTCACAGGAACTATAACATTAAGCCATCAAAAATCAATTATTTTAATATATTGGTGTCTCCAAAGTTTAATAAAAGAAACACAAAGGTTTTCCCTTTCTTTCTTCCTTCCTTCTGTTAACTGCATTGTCTCTGTTGGTCTTGCTTATATCTGAATGAGGTGTTCTTTTTTCCAATTTTTATTTGTTAAGAAGAGGAACTCTTGATGAATGCCATTTGAAAGCTATCAAGGTTTTTTTTTCCATTTTAAACAAATGTGTCTATTTATTTATCTTTTTATCTATTTGTTTGTTTATTTATATATTTATTTGCTACAGCTAAGTGACCCAACTTAATCACATATGCATGTTAGAATTTGATGATGCCTTTAAGCAGACCACAATAAGATATTTACAGAAACAGAAACTATTAATTACGTAAATATTTTTCCTTTCAGAAACGTGTTTGAAGTAAAATCCAGTGCACACATACTAAACAATTTCATCTCAAATCCTCAGCCCACTGTTACATGTTAATATAACTGTTACTTAAACTGTGTAGATTAACCTACATGTGTTTGTCCTGTCCCTCTTTAAAGGATACTTACTAGATCTTTTGTAAAGATTTGGATTGTGGTATCTTCTGGGATATTCATAATGGCCCTAGTTCTTCATTTTAAATTAAGATTATAATCTTGTAATTCTAATAAACAGGAGTAGCTTTTCAATAAAAGTCTCAAAACTCCTCAGAACCATTTCAAACTTAGTCTCAGTGGGATTTTAGAGCTGGTTTTTAGAGTCTCAGTTCTCAGGTGGCAAGCAATATTTTTCCTTTATTTGGAAATGCTGAAACTGCCATACTATGTTTTAATTATTGATGTGCACACCTTACATCATATAAGGTGCAAGGAACGTCTTCCCTCTCCACCAGGTTCCTCTGTTTCAAAATCTCCAAAAAAGGGCCCACCACTTTCTGAGCCAATCCATTCTGTTGACAAACATATGTTACCATTAGGAAAATCCTCTTAAAATGTAATTAGTACATTTAGTACATGGTATATTTTCTATAGATGTGTGATGCAAGGAACACCTGCAGACATTTGGCAATCATGTTTGCAGTAGGTGTCACAAAACCCTCCATTTGCCTTTTTAAAATTTTGATGGAGTGAGAAGGAATTCTACAGCCCCATCTCCAAATCCCCTTTTAGTTTTCTCTCTCCACTTTCACGCTTTCCAGCTGGCCAATTAAATCCTCGAGAACTCAGGACATTTGTAGCCTCATTTCTTGGACATACTCCTGGATTTTTTTTTTACATCCTCCTCCTTGCATGAGTTGAAACAGATGGAAGGAACCCAGCTTTCCCCAGATGCACCTCAATTAGTACTCATTAGCAGTAGTGCACACTGAGTGGCCTTTTTTAAAATTATTATTATTACTCACCAGGATCTCATCCTGCAAAAAGAGGGCCATAGCAACAACAGCAGCAGCAGAGGAGACAGGAGCAAAGAAAGGAGAAATCATTACTCAAAAAAGCGGGAGTAGGAGGGTGATAATAGGTCCCAAAAAGGAAAATATAGATATATAGGTATCAATAACAATCAAAACAAAAGTGTATCACCTGAATAGTTTGGTAAAATTGCTGTTTAGCAAAAGAAATACCATCAGACACATTGCAAAACAAAAACTGCTTAGCTAAAATGGAATGAAGAATAAGGCAAGGTGGGTGGGAATGAGCAGAAGCTGTTTACAGACAAACTTAAAAGTGAAATATGAACATATTGAACAGATGTAATATTAACATCAGAGCAGAGGTTGGAAAATGTAATTTCTAATTTAATGTAATTTAATTTTATGTGAGGTTTAGAATATTTGGGGCCAAAAAAGGAATTCTTCTCATCTCTACATCAGAGTATAGCACTGAAGAAAAAGGTGGTGTTTAAAATAATAAGGAGAAGCCCTAGACATAATATATCCTGTGAGGCATGTAGCTGATTGTTAATTCATGACATTTGCCCCAGGCCAGGAAGCTAAACTACAAACTTTGGATTAGTAATATTACCAGTTAATTAATGTCAAATTAATTTCTTAATCAGGATTAATTACCCATAATTCCCCCTTGCATTAGAATGGAATATTTTGCTTCTGTGTGATGGTTTGTTTGTTTTTAAATGGCCTTCAGCTTCCCATCTTCACTAGTTGGCTGACCATTCTTTCATCCGGAGCCTGCAAAGCAAATTGTGTCTCCTCTGCGTGGCTTAAGCAGATGGACCAGAATGGCAGTGAATGAGGCCTACCTGATTACCCGCTGTTTTCTTCTTACTCATCTGGCTGCTCCTTTGCTGAGCACTAAAAGATTAAAAAAATAAAAATAAAAGTAAGATAGAAGGTATTGAAAACTTCCACAGTGTTGGTTCTCTTGGGACTGTTAACGTATTATTAGGTATTAATGTATCATATTCCCATTCAGACTTAATTCTGCTCCTTAGCAAAAGAAGAAGGATGAAGATGGAAACTGTGATGCCCTAGGAAGGAAGAGACACAGCTTGGAAAAGTTACTTTGGACTATGACTCCTAAAATCCTCCTGCCTATAGGGACATTAGGCAACCCTGTATCAGCATCCCTCCACTCAGCCTAATCTAGCACTCACAGCATCACACAAAGAAAAAAGGAAGCATGTGCCATACAGTTCACTTGAGAAAAGCCCATCTATAACAGTAATGTGTGTATTCGGATTCTTCTCTCCTCGTCTGTTCCTTCCTTCTAGCTATGAAGGACCTGGTGTAGTGTTTTAAGTTAAGGGCTCAGCTGAGACTAGTGTGTAATGACTGAAGGTCCTAGCTAAGGACTCTAGTTGACAGCAATGTAAGGGCATGGACTCCCCATATAAAGCAGGCTTCCAGGATGAATCAGTGCAGGAAACAACTATTGACTTTACCTGCAACTTGCCTTGGTATTTCCTGGAGCTATCTTGACCCTTGGACCGGATCTGGACTTATCTTTGTGATTCCTTGACTCCAGCATTATTACTGCTGGTTCTGACTGATTCTCTGGCTTCTGATCTTGGACTGGGTTATCGGACTTTGCCTTTTGATTATTGAAGTGAATCATGATACCTGGATATTGCATAGAATGGGACTTTGCCTGCTCCATACCATGCAGCGTGCAAGACGTTATATAGTGCTAGGCTTGGTTTTTAAGGCATCTCCTCCTTTCTAGGTAATCAGTAATTAGGATTTCAACACCCGCACTCACAGAATCTACTTTTTGGATCTTTGGGGAATTATATTTCCAAAAAGCCATTTTTCCAGGCTCCTGTCAATGATTATCTTGGGGTGGGTGGGAATGAGGATGCCAGGATGAGTACAGTACGGATAAAGCATCACAAAGTAGAGGTAATGCAGAGCAGTGTGCAAAAATTAACCATTGAAATCCATGGTATCCCTCATGCTTACTTGGCAAACCCAATGAAATCCTCATGGTTTGTGTTCATGTAAGCCAGTTCAATGTCTATCAGGAGCATAACCTGGAGAATAAAAAAATAGGAAAGGAGGTATGAGAAAAGGAACTATCGGCCAAGGCAAGGCTGAGAGCAAATGCTGTTAAAAATATATAATAATAATTGAAGCATTGGAACAGGGCTGAGGAAATGCAGGTTCAGATGCTCATCTATTTTTTCAAAACATTTATAGTATCCCTTTTCCCAAGTATGCCTGTAGTGTCTCGCAACCACAATAAAACCATAAACTCAGCCTTTAATTCATCAGTCACAAAACTACTAAAGCCTAAATCCAACTCTTGGTAAGTATTGACTGGACAATCCCATTTATTCAAAGGGTCTACTCTAGTAGGTCCTAACAATTGAATTTTGGCCTGAGGCACTAATCAAGAACAGCAGGGAGAGAAAACATCCTACCACCAAATAGCACCAGCACATAAGTTGTTTTTAAAAAGAACAGCTGAAAGCAGAATGATATAGCTAGCTACAAACCAATTGCCTTCCTGAAATGAAAAAAAAAATTATAGTGATTTAAGTGCTTTTGAGGGTTTTTTAACGTATAAACAAATCTAAAATGCAAAACATACAACAGCCACTGTGCTCCTTGTCTTTTCTGGTTACAAAGAGTACAGTATCATACACATACAGAATTAATAATGATTACAGTTCAAAAGTGTTTCAGGCAAAATCCAAAGAAACAAAACCATTTTAAAAGAAAAGACAAAAAACATGTGGCATCTTAAAGACTGATGTCTGACTTATGGAAGTGGACATGTCCACAAAAGCGCACATTAAAATATAATAGTTAGTCTTTAAGGTGTCATGTGGTATTTTTTATTGTTTTGTTTTGCCTATTCTAAGATATGCTTGCACAGACTAACATGGCTACCCCTTCTCAAACTAACGTTCAAAAGTGGTTGCTTTGTGATTTTGCTTTTTTTCTCCCCTCCCACTCCAGCTACTTTTAATGTTACAGAGAAAATAGTGAACTCAGATGTAGCAGTCTTTTATGCATTGTTTTTCCTGCGTCTACCTATGTAATAAACAGAAACCAGTTTGGGTCAAGAAGGTTTATATTCCCTTGGAAGGGTTGCTAAAACCATGAAGCTTAAGAGGTGACCTTGGACCAGTTGCCGTCTCTCAGTCTACCTCACAAGATTGTTAGGAAATAATAAATAATATATCTTTGTGCTTTCTGGTTTCTCTTTTATACTGGATTTCTGCTTCACAGAAAAACAGCAGTTCATAACCAGAGGAGTGAACAACATATTCTTTCCGCTAGAGATCGAGCAGGGTCTCATTTTTATTTTTCCATGTTAGCCTCAAAGTTGGGACAGACCACATAATTTGCTAAGAACTACTGTTTAATTTTCATCAACCTCTTGATCTAAGAAAAGATAACATGTTCTCAATAAATGCTAGGCCTCTTGTGAAGTTTTCGGCAAGTTTTTATGAAGATTTAAGATCACAAATTGTACTACAGATCTGCCAAAGAAAGAAATAAGGAAAAGGAAAACTAAGGAACAACTTAAACTCACTTATATATTCCATGCTCAAGGTCAGATAACTCTAAATTTGCAACCTGAAGAATGAAGATTAATTCTAGAGAGAGAAAGCCCTCAGAGAAAAAGCCCTGTCTTTCGGAGGCGGGGAAAGAAAGCTTTTTGACTGTGAGTCAAAATGAGGACAAAGAAAGTGAGACTCATGAACAGAATGTAAGGAAAGCAAAACTGTGAAACCTGCAACGCAGGCACTGAACCCTAAAATATCACGTTTTGGGAACATTCTGGCAAGGGTTATGATTTTGCCTGAAGCAAGCATTACAAAGTTTGGAGGAAAATTAAAAACAATAAGTGGAAGTTAGGATTTCTGGCTATTCTTAGCCATACATTGTAGGAGCTCCAAAGGAGAATCCACCGTTTTGTTTTGTTTTTCAAAGGGTGTGAGGGGCAAATCATCTTTTTTCTCCTTCTCTTTTCTTCAGAGCTACAATCCTGCAATGTTAATTTGAACATGTAGGGAAATAATTCTGGGGACATGTCTTTGGAGTTACCTCAGGAAAAACAAAAGGTGCTCTTAAAAGTCTTATTTAAACAAGCTTGCCCCTCCATTGGAAAGAGTGTGGCTGTCACGTCAGCCAGATTTGGGGTTTGTTTGTTTGTTTGTTTTGAAAAGACATGAAATGCCAAGTGTTCATTGTCAAGGAAAGGAGCTTTTGAGATGTTCTAACTCATGGGGCAAAATAACGGCTACAAGGGAACAATCCTTAGTTGTATTAAGTTTATTAGACAGTATACAAACACTCCAATACTGCATGTGGTTTTGTTGGGTAAATGGGAGACAGATGACAGGAACTGATGCTGCCACAAATGTTGCATCATATTGGCATCACTTAAAAGGAATGTTCTGGAGCCGCTGTCAGCCCTGTCCAGCAGAGCTGATAGTGAGGAATTTTGCCCACCCTGTAATGTATAGGCTAAAATCTTGTTTTATCTTGCCCCTTCCTGTTACATATGGGTCAAAATCCGGTTACAGGCATATTTAAAATGGTGTAACTTTTGGCAGTGACTTGCAACACATTATAGGGTCAGTATAGACATTACTCAGTGCAGATACTTGAGTTGCTTGACATGGTATGCAACCAATAGTGTATACACTTATTTTGTAACCTGCAGCAATTCACCCACCAGGTGTTACACCATTTAAATTACTCTAGCAAGTAGATTTTGGCCACAGAGAGAATGAGTAAGCGAGAGAGACAGAAAGACGGACATATACAAATGGGGAACCTGCCCATACATACCTGGTCCTTGGTCCTTCCCTCTCGCTCGCGGATATGAGTCGTAACAATGCGCTCCATTTCCTCCCGCAGGTGAGGATACTGGCTGAGCTGCAGAAGAGAAGTGGGGAGAAAAATGTGCATATGGGGAAAGTGGGGGTGGGCGGGAAAGGATGACCAGGAAACTGAACCACCACCATCTAAACATCACCAGGGATGGGGGCAGAATAGCACAGAGGAGCCATAGAAGGAAGCTGAGGAGAGATTTTCCAAATTCCAGCCAAGGTATGGCGTTCTGTCCTGGCCATACCTTTTAGCCAGTATCTTGAGTCTTGTTTGACCTTCTTTAGAGGCAGCCCTGAAGGGACCATATTATTTTCACAATAGAAACCATCCTGTCCACTTCGGAGAATAACTATTTGTTAATGCCTCCTCTTTCTCTTAGAGTTATAATTAATATTGCCTCCCTGTCCAAATTCTGTTCATTTAAGGAATATTTTAAACCCTGGATATATAGCCGGATTAGGAACACATTGCACATTGCACTGTTTGACACAGTTGATGGAGTCACATTGTTCACATCATGTCTTTGCAGCCGTTTTCCCGCAGAAATATAATCTCTCTCAAATTTTGCGAAATAGCCAACCCAGGCTGAGAAGCACACAAGCTTCGAGGACCACAGCTTTTCCACGCATGTCCCAAGGAGGGAATTTCCAAACTGAATGTCATATGACTTTGTTTTGACTGAAACGGGTAGGTAAAATTGTAATGTACACAAATGTTGCAAATATTCCTGAGAGTAAGCCTCAGTATACACTATGGGATTGACTGCACTATAAATCAGTAAAATTAGGAATGTACTCTGCTGTTTCATGATTAAAACATTTGGGTACTTCTCCAGGATCTGTAGCTGTCTGCTACTTTAGAGAAAGGAGAAACATTTTTCTTGGTGCAGACAGAAGGAATAAGACTGAAGAAATGGAACCGGGGGGGTGGGGGGAGAAAATCACAGGAAATTGGAAAATCTTTCCCAACTTTTTTGAAAATACAGTATAATAGCCATCCTAGAAACACTGAAGAAAGCACTCCAAACTGTGAAAATATTTCTTAATTTATTCTAGACTGCCAGGATTTGTTATTATTATTTTTTTTTGGTCAAAGTTTGAACACAAAAAATGGGAAGGAGAGAAAAGGAAAATAAAATTGCCAGTCATGGTCACCAGAACTCATGCAGGTGTGGGGAGATATCATACTTGAGACTGCATGCATGGAGGGTGGGGATGGGGAAGCAATGCTGAGCAAAGAGCAAATCACAAACACGGATTGTCACATTCACCGGGGAAGACATGCATGATGATGCAAGGGAGTGGGGACAAGCAGGGAAGGCAGTAGCACCAGCAGCACCCAGAAATGCCATGGCTCTGAACAGGAGTGCAGGCGAACCTGAGAAAGGGGAGCTTGTTTGGAAATGGGTTCGCAAAATTTGGATGATTTCCATCATTTGCTGCATATAAGCCCATTTCCTTTTCCTGGACACTATTCTTTTTAACCACATGCCTCTTCCTCCACAACAAGAACTACAGCAACGGGTGTCCCTAAGTTCAGAACCTAGTTTCATGAGACAGAATTCAGCCTACAATGGCAGTACAGTATTAGATCTGACACACTTCTCCAGTCACAGGAGTCTTGTAGCTTTTCAAACTAAGAATGCAAGGAACACCTATTAGAAAAATTGCCAACTGCAGTGAGATTTGTTTGCTATTTGTTTTTTACAGATGGGTGTAAAATATTAGGGGCTTGCGGGCAAAAGAAAACCCCTTCAGGTTCGGGTTTTAAAAAACCCAGATACCTACTTTGTGCAAAATACAAGGTTTTGCACAAAATGCAAAGGCCAGTGACCTTTTCAGATTACTTCATGCACAGTAGCATTAGAACTGCTGGATAGCTTAGAGGTTTAGGGATCTTGCTGTGGACCCAGAGGTTGGGAGTTGGATTCCCCCCGGGCCTCCTTGACATGGGCTGGACTCATTGATCCAGAGGGCCCCTTCCAGCTCTGCAGTTCTAAGATTAAGAATAAATATTATTATAAAGCATGACTGGATACCTCGCCAGTTGGCCAAATCTGTTTCTGCGGTTGCCCTTGTTCTACCCTTAACTGCTGTGTTTCCTTGTGTAAATAAACACAAACCATTATGTACACATGGTAATACTGAAAGATCACACATGTGTGTTTTTCATGCGGATCAATGAACAAAACTTTTCTGTTTGGTCATCTTTATGTCAAATGCCTGTGAAAATTGCTGAAACAGTTATCATAAACCTGTACTGGATCCAATCATTATGAGTTTGCAATTTTCTTCTCTGGAAGAGCTCTTACACTTTTAAGAACAGTCTGACACATCCCCATAAATATGCCTAGGGAAAGAGCTAAACCTTGGTGGAAGAAGAAACCCTTTGCTAGAGCTTAGGAAAGCTACTTTTTTGGACTACAGTGACCAGAATCCTTCAAGCAAGCTCTGTGTTTTGCATGCTAAGGATCTGAGATTTGTTCTCTAGGACCAACAGGTAGGGTTGGAAAATATTCCAGCCGAAAACCCTAGAGAACGTTTGCCACTGGTCTGACGACACAGCAGACTAAATTTTTCCTATGATGTTATCTCCCTGCCAGGCAAGTCTTCATCAGCTTTGTTTTTTTTTTGGTGTGAAATCTGTAGTTAAAAAGCACAGAACCAGAATGCTTTTTAAAAAGAACATGGAAATGACAGAAGAGCAGTAGCATCTGTAGGCGGTGAAGAGTCTGGGCATTTTTCATGGGGTAAAAGTGGAAGAATCCAGGCCCAAAAGAGAAGGCGAAGTATTGTTTTTTAATGGCGCTTTCAACTTCTTCTAAGCTCTCTATGTTTAACTCTCTCCTCAGCACCACTGGAGTCTCTCTTCTCTTCTTACAGCTCAGCTACACACACACACACACACACACACACACACACACACACGTATATGAACACCCACACGAAAGCACTCCAGAAATCCAGATGGATTCATTTCCTGTGTAGTTAGTCATGATCTTTTACGGAGGGAAAAAGATGTGGTTTCACAGGGACTGCCTTTGCCTATGAACTGAAATAAAGTCACTGAAGGGGAATGATTCAGGACTCCCTCCACACACACAAAAAAATCTCTATTGGATATGGGAAGTTCAGGGACAGTCTCACACAGAGAGGTGTCCCTAATACTTGGGCTAATAATGCCCAGCTTAACAGTTCTCTGAAAGCTCCACAGAAATGCAAAGAGCATAAAAGGATTGCTAGCAAGGGCTGTGACATTACCAGGTCCCATGGATTGAATCTCACTGCTGATGCAGAGGGAAGGTTGCCATCTGCTGAACCATCAACATCTGCTTCTCTAGGGTTAACTCCCTTCCCATCCAGTCCTGGCCTTAGAACCAGTATCTCTTGTGTTACAGAGATTTGGATTCAGATCTGTAGCTGCTAAGGTGTCTGATCAGGCAATACTGTGCCCTTAATGCTACAGAACAATAAAAGCAAGGGGCAAGGGTAGCTTAGAGTCCACTGCAAAGTAAACATGAGGAAAGCAAAGAGAAGAGCCGTCTCATTGCATCGCCTCCTTCCACAAGAGAACCAATGTTGCAAAGAGAAGTATCCAAAGGGCAAGAATTCAGGTGTTAAAAGACTAACACCTCTAGAAGGCAAGAACTAACAGAGGGAACCCTGATCACACCGAAGCTCTCCTCTCCCAAATCAAGCAAATGGCTTTGTTTTCAATGATGCAACTATCGCCTGTGTTTTAAACTGGCACCTAAGCTCAGAGCTTGGAAAACTCACTGTATTGGACGACAGCTCTCAGAATCCCAATCCAGCAGGCTCTCTGGCTATGCTAGTTAGGGAATTCTGGAGCTGTATATATATTACCAAATTTGCAATCAGCCCAGTTCACAAGGAATTCTGTAGGAGGTCTTTGTGTTGCCTTATGTCCGTGAACAGCTAAAATGTCTGACTGATAGAAAACTATCTTCCTGTTTTCTACTCCACATTAGCAATATTCACATGCTCACTTAAATGAAATTCAAGATCTCTTTTGGGAAAATATTCTGCAATCTACCATGTATTTTTCTTTCCTTTCTACTCTCTTACACCTAGATGTATCACTCTGTGCTTGCCAGATCAACTCCTGAAATACAGGAGAGAAACTGGATTGATTAAGTAACACTTGAATCAGGAAAATTGAAAGTGTTAGGTGTCCAATCTGGTGAATACATCACTATCAACTAATGGGCCAGTCTGCCTTCTTAACGAGGTATGTGGCGCCCTCTGATGGAATGCATAGGTCCAGAAAAGAAAAGAAAAGAAATGTTTTGTTCAGAAAATGTGATTACGAAATGGCATTGTTTACAGAGATGGAGAAAGTTACTTCCTTTTGGACTACAGCTTCCAGAACCTCCCATCAGCAGGACCACTGGCTATGCAGGCTAGAGGTTCTGCTAACTCTGATACAAAATTTTTTAACATTTCTCATCTTTGCAGCAGACACCTAGAATGCTAATCTGTTATATCAGTTTGCAGTCTCTTCTCTCAACTATGTCACTGCTTTCAAAATGCTGTATTTCCATATGGGGAAAAGCAACTGAAAGAGATTCTTAGCATGCAAGTTAGGAATAGTTAGAAGTAAGGCGAGATGAGGGCCTTAAAGCAAGATTTAATTCTGAAACAAAAGGAGGATGTGAGGCACAGAGACTTGTCAAAAAGCAACCAACCTTTATCTGCTTGGCTTCTGAATGTCTAGCATCAAACCCTTTGGCTTCCTGTCTAAGTGAGGGGAGCCACTTTCTTCTTAATGAATGCAACAGCCAGTCCTTAAATTACTATTCACTATGTTGGGGGGGGTATCTTTCCTTATAAAGAGGAACAGTGCCATAAAACCTAGAAAACTGTGAAATGGTTAATTCAAATCATGTCATCCCCAGGATGGGGCAGGTGCTGTTTCGAACCACAACAGTAAACAGAGATTTTCCTCTTGTTGAGTTTACGAATGGCTTTCTCGTAGACCCTAAGAAAAATATAATGGAGCTAGAGCTTATAAGGTCAAAACAGGGG